ACAGTGCAACTGTGTCTTGCTTCTGTGAACACCACGTGATAGGAGATTCGCCAAAGTAGAAAACATGTTCAGTGGTGCTTCTTCCGTCATCGGGATCGATATTGTGACTACTGTCACTGTAACCGACGAGCTTCTTAGTTCCACCTTTCCTGAATGTTATTCCATATGCAATTGTTCCTTGCAGGTACCTTAGAACTTGTAAAAGATATCTTAGGCATCATATCTTCCTTCGATACATGGTAGCATCGATCTCGCTGTCACTTTCTTGTTCTTTCGACAACTTTAATCCAAACTCCATTGGCACATGAGTAGGATTACAACTGTCTAGACCAGCTTCTTTCAGAATATGTTGAGCATAGGCTTCTTGCTTGATCTGTATTCCTTCTTTGTTCTGACTTACTTCGATACCGAGGTAATAGGTGAGTTTACCATGGTCTGACATCTCCTATTTTTATTTGTAAATTTTTAAAAACTATTAGGTAAAATAATAACAATGACACTTATCGAATTATCCAACTTTGATGTACATATATATTTGATTTAAAGAAATAATCTTGTTAAGATTTTAGTATTATTTTTTGTTTTCCATAGAATTTTTATAGTTCTTTTTTTCTTGAAGGTTTATGTGTTCAAATATTTAGTTTTTTATTGAAAGTGTTATTGATGTTGTGTACCACTGTATATATAATCCATGATTCATGTTGATTCTCATTTAACTTTGTTAGGAAGCTGTAATGATCATGCAAAACCATTTTTTCCTTCTCCATCATGTCTTCCAAAAGTTTTATGTTATATTTTTATTCAGTTTTAATTGTTTTAATTGTTAAATCGAGTTGGTGTAGATTTTTTTAAATTGATAAATTGATAATGGTTACTTTTTTTTATACATGTATTGTTAATTGTTAATTCTTTTATTTAAATTTTTAAATTTAAACTATATTAACATTTTCTGATTTAATATATATTGATTTGGATCAATCAGATGGAATTTAATTTTTTTGTTGGACATAATTTGTTAAATTAACTTATAATATTTTAATTATACTTAATAATTTTTTGGCTAATATCTTTTAAATTATCAAAACTATAATATATTTGTAGAAATTTTTTTTTATATATAAAAATTAAAACATAATATGTAGTATTTCCTAGTTTTGTATGTAAAATTATAAATCTTATTAAGTAAAATCATAGTAATGACACCTAACGAATTATCCAACTTCGATGTGCATATGTTTGATTTTGAAAATGATTTCCTTACTAAATTTTTGGTGTTTTGTTTTGTATCCTTAGGATTTCTACGGTTCTTTTTTTTAAAAGGTTTATATGATAATTCTAGTTTTTAAACTTGTAGGATGGATGGTGTGCAGTCTTTATATTTGTTTTACTGTTTTTATCTTCTGTGCTTTCTGCATATTTTAATTTGAATATTTTATCTAGATATATCAATTTGAGTTTGATTCTTAACTCTATCATATTTTATTATTTAAATACAATTTTAGAAGGTGTTACTCATATGTTATTAATGTTGCCTCATATATAAGTAGTAGATATATATATATATATATATATATATATCAGACTTTATTGCTTGTTATATTTCGAGTGTAAAATTACTTATGTAGTATTTTTTGTTAGTTTTTAAGTCAGAAGTACCTACTATATTAACTTTTGTATATTTAAAGAATATGTTTGATTTAAAAAATTATGTAAATTTATTGCAACTTTATATAGTTATTAATTGTAGATATCAATACTTTAAAAATCTTTTACTTTACATCTTTTGATAGTAAATTTATATTTTATTTTAATCTATATAATTTTTTTTTGTATGTTTGTTATACTTAGGATTTTTTTTTTATGATTAAATTTTTTAGTTGTTGATTCTCAAAATAGCTAGCATAGATATCAAGTTAATTTATTTTACTTGAATGCTTTTTAGTTTTTATATTTTCTTTTTTAATATTAGTTTTTATTTTAGTTATAATGTTGATTTGACATACTATAACTGTTCATTTTAAATCTAATATCGATTTATCTCAAAATATTACTGCATCATTTGTTTTTATTTTTGTTTTTAAAGTTTTTAATGTTAATTTTTAAAAAATGTTAGTCAAAATAGTAGGTTAGCTTTTTTATAAATTTTTCCGTTGTTAGTTTACTTTTTTTATATTGATTCTTATTTAATTTTGAAACATAATTTTTCTGTAAATGTTGATATTTTTACAGAAATTTTTTTTTCTTTCTGTTAATGAAGTTCTTTTATATTGAAAATTTTAAATAGTTACCATATATATCAAGTCAGTTTTTTAGATGATTGTTTTAATATTTGTTTTTGTCATTATTAGCAATTTTAAATTTATTAACATTTTGTAAAACATCATTTATATTTTATTTGTTTTTGTTTAATTTTATATTAATTTCTTAAATAGTTTGTTTAAAGCTTTATTTTTTATATTTATTTCTTTAATAGTCATTTAAAGTATATATGTTAAGAAAAAATTATTTTGTTAATTTAACTTTCTGTTATTGATTTTTTTATGTTAATTTTAAAAAATTGTTAGCCTAAATATCAAGTTAGTTTTTTTATATGACTTTTTTTTTCTTTGTTGGTTTACTTTTTTTATATTGATTCTTATTTAATTTTGAAACATAATTGTTTAGTAAATATTAACATTTTTACAGTTAATTTTCTCTTTTTCTGTTAATGAGACTCTTTTATATTAATTTTTTTTAAATAGTTAGCATATATATCAACTCAATTTGTTTTTCAATGATTTTTAAAATATTGTTTTTATATTAATTTCAATTTTAGTTGTATTAACATTTTTAAAACATAATTTACATTTTATTTGTTTTTGTTTATTTTTATATTACTTTCTGAAAAAGTTCTTTTACAGCTTTAGTTTTTTTTATATTGATTTCTTTAATTGTTAGTTTAAGGCTAAATTTAAACAAATTTTTTATTTAAAGTATATTTAAATTTCTTTTATAAAATTTACTTTTTCGTTATAGATTTACATATTTGTTTTTTTATTGGTTTAGATTTTGTGACATTTTGTTTCCATTTTATTTTGACAAAAGCTATAAATTTGGATTTCTGACATAATTTATTTTATCTGTTTTGTTAGTTAAACTTTTTTATCTTTATTTTCCATTCTACCATGATATTTTTCTTTTTTTTGTATATTTTAATTTATTCAAATTACTAATCATATTTAACATTTTTTGTTTAATGAAAAATGCTGATGTGGACCAATCATATTAAGATTTTTAATCATATGTGGACGTTTTTAATGCACTATGCCTTCAACTTTTATATATTATAGAAGTAAGTCAAAAAAGAAATTAATTAACTTGAAAATATAATTTATTACAGAAAATGATGTGGACCAATGAAATAAATATTTTTATAATTTATATAATTTTTATAATATAATAATATGTCAATTTTCTATTTATTCTTAATAAAAAAATAAGATCTAGTTTCTATATATTTTAAACTCATTTTTATTAATAATTATCTAGAAATTTAGAAATTTTCCCAATGATAACAAAAATAAAAATAATTAAAATTTAGAAAGTTTACTAATAATAATAAAAATGAAATTAATTAATTTTAATATATATATATATATATATAATTAACTATAAATGATGATGTGTACCAATAGAATTATATCTTTTAAATCCTATGTGGACACCCTTAAATGCATTTAGCATCAACTTTTATTAGTAATAGATTTATACAATAACTCAAATTTGTTCAGATATGTCATATTGTAAAAAATTAAAAAATTATTCAATGTTTACCTGAATATTTAGTAAGTTTTTAAATGATCAAAAATTTGTCTTAAAATGTGTGTTTTGTATCCATTTATACAATAACTTAGATTGAGAAGTATTTAGGAATGCTTCCCAAACTTTAGCAAGACCTTCCTGAATTGTCTCTTCCACAAGATTGATCATCTCTTGAGTATTAGTGTCTATTTATATTACAACTCAGAATTTGGTCAGATATGTAACCATATAATATGTGTAGACCCTCCACATAATTTTTTTACTCAATAAGTGGGAATTTTTTTATATTTTTATATAACTACTCAAATTTCGGAAGTTGTCTTACACATTAAGGAAGACTTTAATAAAAAGTAGAAATTAATATAGTTTTAATTATTAATGTTTATGAATGTCTTCCTAAATATCTAAAGTAGGGATGGGCAAACGGGAATATGAGACGGGATTCTGCGGGAATGGGAACGGGACGGAAATATGGGAATCAAAATAATTGTCCCATATGTGTTCCATTCAAAATTTGGGACGGGACGGGAATGGGACGGGATAGGACGGGAATGAGACGGAAATTCCCAAAAAACCTAAAAACACGACAAATTGACAATTGTAGAACAAAAAAATTAAAACTCAATTTATATTCGTCTATTATTCACCTCCTAAATCCTAATAAGTAATAATAACATGTCATATAAGATTATAAATTAACCAAGAAACAAATAAAATCAAATTTAACTTAATTATTAAAATTTAAAAGCTTCAAAGTGAAAGTTGATACTTGTTTGTTTGTTAGGTTATAATTTATAAGTTAGAACTTTAGGGTACAACTTTTAAGTTTTAACTTTCGTTTATATAAAATAATATATTAATAAATAATAATTATCAGTTTTGGTAATATATTTTAAATATTTAATTTATTATTTATATATAATTCGGGACAAATGGTACTTCGGGAATTCCCATTCCCGTCCCGTCCCATTTCCAAATGGGAATCAATATGTTGTACCATATGGGAAGCACATTCTCATATGATACGGAAATTTGGGATTGAGACTGGGATGAGATGGGATGGGAACCCACTCCTAATCTAAAGATCCTTCCTAAAATTTTGATTTCAGAGGTTTTCTTGTCTTAGCTTGTTTTTTTTTTTTCCTATTTATGATTATTGTCTACAATACATAAAAATAACAAAAGATTGAGCTACAAAAATGGTTAAAGTTTGTATTAATCAAGTAAAACAAGGTTTGAGTTCAAGTTAATCTTTATAAAGCTATCCAAACGTTTAAGAAATCTTTTAATATGATTTAGGAAGACTTTCAATATATTTATCATCAGTTTGGTTATTCTAAGTTAAACAGTATACTAATTCAACTATTTGTAATAATTTAGGAAGTTTTCTTACAAATTGAGGAAGACCTTCCTAATTTATTTATTTACTAATTTATAAAGACTTTTTAGAAACTAATGTTGTGGAATCCAATTGTATAAAATGATGGGATTACCAGATAATTATTACTAACTGAATAAAAAAAAAAAAAAAAAAAAAACACAGAAATAAAGTAAAAAGATAAAGAAAAAACTAACAAATACGATTTAGTTTCTCTTTAGATTAAGGAAATATATATAGATTCTCTGCTATTTTAAAATTAGGCAAGGGAGACTTAAAATGGAACAAAAAAAATTCTGCCCTGATTTTTCTTCCCAAAAATCCAGCGAAACTGTAAACTACCAAAGTCGTGGGATCAATAAAAGAGAGAAAATCCTCTCAAAATATATTTTTCACAAAAATGGCGTCGGACACTGAGGCTCACATTCTATCTCAAATCGAGTCCTCCGACCCCGGAGAAGTTCTCTCCTCCGTCTTAACATACCTCCAACCGTTCGTCGGTCTTTTGATATGTCGGGAAGAGGACCGAGCCCTAACCACCCGATCCATCGCGAACCAATTCCTCCCCTTCATCTCCAAATCCATCTCTTCCCTGCATAAACGCCTCTCAGTCACAGTCCCTGCACCCCCCGATGATCTGTTCCGCGCTTACGAGTTCTGTTTGGAATGCTGCGAGTTGGTCTCCCACGATCCTCACGCCGTCCAGCTTCAAAGGCTCGCGCTGATTCGCTGTTACCAACACTGGGGTTGGTTCACTCACGCTTCCAACGACGGCATGAGATTCCTGGAGGGGCTTAGAGCACCCGGGCTCTCGTCAGATATGGGAAAGTGTGCTCTCTCCATTATCAGAGAAGCAGAACGTTTCGACAAGGGTTTTGTGCAATCTTTCTGCAACTCAACACTGAAGGAATATTATAAATCCCCGTTGCCAAAATGTCATTTTTATAAGGTGACTTGTCCAGATTTCACAATCTTTCTCTGTCTCTGTCTGTCTCTTGCGTTGAGCATTGATTGTTCTGTTTTTTTTTTTTTTTGTGTATCCAGTTTTCTCGCCAGGTGCTTTCTTTACTGTTTATGTCCAAGGAGACAGAAACATCACAACCCGTTGAAACTGTGATGTCTGTGTTGCGAACTGTGGCATGTGAAATCAAGGTATATGCAAAAGTCTCTTGTCACTGTTAGGACAGTATGTCTCTTTTTGTTTCTTGTCCCTTACTGCTCCTCATACCCGCAATTTCAGGTTGAACCTGGAGCAAATTGGTTGGAGTTTCTTGACTTAGTCTCCTATTGTGTTCATGAGTCTCTGTTAGCAGGAGACGTATGGTGTGCAGGAGTTTCGAAACAGTTGAGTGAGATTGCATCTAATTACTATAACTATAAGGTATCGATCTTTTTGTCTCCTCTTTCTCTCTCTCTCTCTCTCTCTCTCTCTCTCTCTCTCTCATATTGGTTAATGAAAATAGGATTTTGATTGATAGCTCTGAGTACTTGGCAGGCTATACCACAAGCTAATCTGATTCTAAGACTTTATTCAGCTGGACTCCCCGTACATGTGTTTGATGTTAAGCTGAGAAAAATTGTTAGAAAAAAGTTGAGGCTTGAAGCTTTACTTGGTGACGATGAGATATGGAATAGCTCAGTTTCTTTATGGGGTTTGATTCAGCATTACCACAAAGACGCCGTGGAATACACGCCACCTTACCTTGATGCTCTGAAATTTTTGTGCCAGCCTCTTGCTAGTTTGATAAATTCCGAGAAGAAAAAGATGGTGCCGGGAAGAGTATTAACATGTTATACTGCTCATCTATCTGTTATACAGGATATATTTCTCCAATTTTGTCATGGTTTACGTGAATTTCAGAGGTACATACATACATATATATGAATCGTGTATTCTTTGAGTTGAATGTTTTGCTTACCTTTCGTTTCCATTTTTGCGAGATGGACCCATCACAAGGAATGTAGTGGGACTGACTTTAACAAGACTCTGCTAAACGTGGCTATGGCTGCTTCTTTCATTTCGATGAGAACCCAATATAGAGTAGAGGTTAAATACTTGCTTACCATTCTCACAAATCAAGTGGAAGCTTTGTTCAAACTCTTCTTTTTGCAAGAATGTCTCAAAGTTTTTTTTTATTTTTATTTGATTTTATGTTTTCAGATCACCGGCCGTCTAGTTGAAGATGTAATTGCTAGTCCGTGGATTTCACCTCCAGACCTTAAATATCTATTAGCTTCATTTCACGATATCGGTGTAGCTTTCTACAGTATGAAGAACCTTGGAAAGGTACTAGCACACGCCTCTTTTTAACCTTTAGATTCTGTTTCTTGCTCTACAAGGTTTTTGCCGCCTAGTCTATTTTCATATTGATGGTGTGTACTTTTCAGGCTTCCTTGGCGTTCAAGATATGTATTAGAACAGTGTGGACTTGTGTTAGACTCCTCTGTCAGATACATGTAAAAAATGAGCGTAAACCATCCGAGGAGTGTCTCTCCAGAGAAGCAATTATCGATTTTGCGAGTAAAGCATGTGGCAAATCTGCATTTTATCTGGATGTTCTCCAGCAACATGGTGCACCAGAAATCAACAAGTTGCTTGTGTTTATCCTGGAGAACTGGTCTGCAGCTGAAGCGCTCATCAAAAATTTGCCAGACCCTACACCGATAGCAAAACAATATGTTAAGGTAAACTGTTTTGTTTCTCTGCATATCTTAAAAAGTATCTTCTCTTATAATCTATTTAAATGCTTCTGATCGCGTCTTATCATTAGATACAGACACAACGCAGAGATCATGAGATTCAGAAAGAAGAAAAAGACTTGAAGCAAACTGGGTTTTAAAAAGCGCGACTTTTTAGTGCCATGGCGCAAGGCGCACCTCTACATTCTCGTGTTACTTCCAACTTCTTCACAAATGTTATTGCTTTGATCACTATAGACTTGAGTTTTGTTTTGATCATCTTTTACTCTTCAGTTATCTATCATCAAAAATTATCAATTCTCATGGCAAAGTATACAACATTAGACAAGGGCATATATGCGAGTAAAAGATTATCACAGTAACTTAAAACAAAGTTTTTAAGATTTCATTGGATATATACAATCTGGAATGACCGGTTGGGTGCAAGGATAGGCAAATACCACTGGTTTATTCTATGAGTTGGACAATGTTTTTTGCATCAAGCAATACTGTTTTAATGATTCTTGTTTACATGAGCGAGTGTTGAAGTGTAAGCCTGCATCGTATGTTTGCATCTTTTTAAAGTAGTTTTAAACATTTGTCAATTATTTGCGTAAACACTTGCTTTATTTTGTATATACAAAATTTGTTTTGATTTTTTTGATAAAGAAAATATTTTATAAAAAGGGCCGATCTTGAGATTTTGTGGGCTCGAGACCAGTTACAAAATATGGGTCATAATTAGGTTAATTTGTTAATTATTTGTGGATTCTTTCTTAATGAATTGGGCTTTATATAAATTTTGTTGGATTTGTAGTAACAACCCATAAAACATTAGTTAAAAATAAAATTGAAATCAGCCACTGAAAAATAGGGGCCAAGCCAGGGACGGTCCGGACAAAAAGGAAAAGTCAATCTTTAGGCATGTGAACTTCCCTAAGCAGCTAAGCCTAATGAATACTATGCTTAGCTGTTTTATACTTTAATCAATCATGATTGGCTAGTTAATTCTGATTCTTACATACATTTTGAACATACCATAAAATCTCTATAAATTAATAATGTTAACTTCACAATTTTATTAATTTATAGAATTATTAATTAAAAGAAATACTTTTGGTTCAAAATTTTATTAATTTATGAGTTCTCTCTCTACTATCTTTTTGAGAAAGAGAAACAATTTTCCAGCATAGTCCGGATCTTTTGTAGGATATTATTTCCATTTATTAGATGATACTAGGTATTTACCTGCGCTACACTACGAGATATTTTTCTAAATTTTGTATATATTTTTAATATAATAAAATTATATTTATAATATAAATGAGTATTGTATTTATTTTTTATCAGCTAAAGTTATGTATTTATATGTTTTAAATCTGATAAATATTGTATATTTTTTATTTTTCAAAATTATAATTTGCTATTAAATTTGTTTAGCTAACTAATTATAAATGTATATGAAAGAATAAAACAATACATTTTTAGTACCTTTATGCTAATGGTAAATATAATCTATTTTCTCCAATAAATTGCCACTTGATACTCCTTTGTAATTATATAAAGCAAAGTGTCATTTTTAAAAAAGTTTTATTAATTAATATGATTATCAAGAATTATAAAATTTATTTATTATCAAATATTTATTATAAATATATATTTCTAAAACTATCAAACTATAATAAAAAACATTCATATCAAAATCATTGCTATTGCTTTAGAACTAAACAGAAAATTCTGTTTGAACTCTTGAAATAACGTTTTAGTTAAAGTTAAATAATTAAATTTTGGTTATTGTAACATACTTTAATTTGGAAATTTAGCATCGAAAAATTTCATCTTCTTACAAAAACCGAGAAATCGCATTTCTCGTCAAAACCAAAAAAAATTATTTTTCTATGAAACTGAGAAATCGCATATTCCCGTCAAAACCAAAAAAAAAATTATTTTCTCTTCAAACTTAAAACCTAAAATTTATTTTTCCGCAAAAACTTGTGTTTTCCGCCAAACCGAGAAATCACGTTTTTTCACTAAAACAAAAAAAATTTCATCTTTTTGCCAAAAAAAAAAAATCGTATTTTTCCATCAAAACCAAAAAAATTATTTTCCTGCAAAAACTGAGAAATTGTCTATTCCGCCAAAACCAAAAAATTTATTTTCTCGTCAAACCAAGAATCACGCTTTCCTACCAAAACAGATAAATTACAATTTCCCGCAAAAACTAAAAATTGCATTATCTCCCAAGAAATTGTGTTTTTCCGCGAAAACTAAGAAATTGTATTTTCCCGCGAAAGCCAAAAAATCACATTATTCATCAAAAACTGAAAAATTGCATTTCCCATCTAAACCGAGAAATTGCTTATTCCCGCTAAAACCTAGAAATTTTGTTTTCCCATCAAACCGAGAAATTGCATTTTCCTCCAAAATTATTAAATTGCAATTTTCCGTGAAAAGTAATAAATCACATTTTTGCGTAAAAACCAAGAAATCGGTTAAAAGTCGAATATTTACATTTCCTATCAAAACTGAGAAATCACATTTTTGTCAAAATCTAAAAGTTGCATTTCGCATCAAAACCGAACATCGCATTTTCCCGTCAAAACTAAGATATTTTTTTCCCCGTCAAAATCAATTTTTTTTTCTCAACAAAACCAAGAATTCACATTTTCCCGCAAAACCTGAGAATTTGATTTTTCAGCCATACCCGAGAAATTATGTTTTGCTACCAAAACTGAAAATCACATTTTCCTACCGAAATCAAGAAATTTTAGAGATTGAGCTGAATGAATCTTTATTATTGATGTAGAGTAGTATATATACAGAGGTACAAGTAGGGTAAATCGATATACATAGAAGGCATATATACGTAAGATATAATCTTTCCTTAACACACCCCCTCAAGATGGAGGAACTCTATGAACTCCAATCTTGGACCTGAGCTCTTGGAAGCGTGCACGAGCCAATGGTTTTGTGAGTCCATCGGAGAGTTGATCTTTCGTAGTGACATGCGTGACACGGAGAAGACGCTTCTGTATTTGACCTCTAACAAAGTGATAGTCGATAGCAATATGCTTCATGCGTGAGTGGAAGACAGGGTTGGCACACAGATATGTTGCGCCAATGTTGTCACAGTAAACCGTTGGTACATTTGGCAAATTGACACCGAGTTCAGTGAGCAACGAGCAAATCCATCGAAGCTCAGAAGCAGTATTAGCGACAGCTCTGTATTCGGCTTCAGTCGAGGATCGAGCAACTCCTTGTTGCTTCTTGGAAGACCAGGAAATCGGTTGGCTGCCAAGATAGATAACGTTGGCATTGGTTGAGACATAATCGTCTGTGTCACCTGCCCAGTCGGCATCAGAAAAAGCATGAAGTGCAGGAGATTGTTGCTTGCGCAGAAAAAATACCATGACTGAGAGTGCCTGAGAGGTAGCACAGCACTCTTTTGACAGCCTGCCAGTGTTCTATTGTGGGTTTATGCATAACCTGTGAGAGTCTGTTGACAGCATAGGAGACATCTGGTCTCGTAAGAGCTAGGTATTGCAGGCTACCAACAATTCGCCTATATTCATGCGGGTCTGGTAAAGGCTCCCCTGAAGTAAGTGTTAGCTTGGGTGAAGAAGCTAAAGGGGTCGCCACTGTTTTAGCCTGCAACATATTTGTTCAAGTCAGCAGATCAGTAATATATTTGCGCTGCATCAAGTGTAACCCCTGCGGTGTCCGGATAGTTTCAGTGCCAAGGAAGTAGCTTAGGTGACCCATATCCTTGATGGAGAATTTTGTTGCAAGGCTCGTGATGACTCGCTGAACCAGATCATGATTAGTACCCGTGACCAGTATGTCATCGACATATACTAACAAGTAGACAAACTCTTTCTGATGTTTGAAAATGAATAGCGAGGCATCAGATAAAGAATTACGAAAACCTACAGTCTCCAGAAATGACTTCAGTTCAGAGTACCAGGCTCTCGGAGCTTGCTTAAGGCCGTAAATGGCTTTCTTCAACCGGCAGACAAGTGTAGGATTATCTGCATCAACAAAACCAGGCGGCTGACACATAAAGACCTCCTCTTGTAAGTTCCCTTGCAGAAATGCATTATTAACATCAAGTTGGCGAGCTGGCCAATCACAATTCACAGCCAAACCAAGAACAATACGAATCGTAGTTGACTTTATTACCGGACTGAATGTCTCCGTGAAATTAACTTCGGGTTGCTGATGGAAGCCTTTGGCGACAATCCTGGATTTGTAGCAATCAATAGTGCCATCCAGGTTGTATTTGATGGTGAAGACCCAGCGACAACCCACAACATTCATCTTCTCAGTAACAGCCTGGAGGTTCTAGGTGAAATTTCGAACTGTAGAGTTGAATTCGGCAGCTATTGCAGCACGCCATCGGGGATCTTTTATCGCTTGCTGCCAGGTCGTGGGAATCCAGTGAGGATCCTGTTGAAGGGAAGCATTATTGGCCTTCTTCTTTGAGGGTTTTTCGATGAGATTTTTAGACCGTGTAGTCATCGGGTGAGTCACCGGATGTGGCTTCGATTTCCGGGGACGGCGGCCGTAGGTGTGAGTTATCGGAGGTCGAGTTGTTGGATTTGGTGCTGGAGCGATAATGGGCTGACTCTGTTGTTGAATTTGGGCATGAGTGTCTATTGGGCCCAAAGGTGAATTTGTTGGAAACCCACGAAATGGAGCAGCTTCTCCATCGATTGAATCTGGTACAGCAACATCAGTTGTAGAGAGTGGCACCTGTGATGGGACAGAGCTCGAGGGTCCAGAGCATGAAGGAAACGATCGCGACCCGAGGAGTAGCACAGTAGCAGGAACCGTTGTATACGGGGGGAGAGAAGAAGTGGGTGTTTCTGCAGGTGCAAGTGTTTGGTTGTGGAGAAGCGAGTGAAAGGGGAACTGGGTTTCATTGAATCGAACATGTCCAGAGACATAGACAGGTCCAGAGAGGGGTTCAAGGCATTGATATGCACTTTGTGTGAGGGAGTAACCAATGAGTACACACGGCACTGAGCGATTTTGGAGTTTATCGGGAGCATATGGTCGAAGCCATGGAAAGGAGTGGGCATATATAACCAAACCCGAAAATCCAAACCGAATCGACCCGAAAAAATCCGAACCGAACCGACCCGGTATTGCTTTAATAACCGATGGGATCTTATGCTGGTTGTGGTTCGGGTCCGGGTTCGGTTCGGTTATACCCGAAAATCCGAATGAACACTCGAAGCAACTGAAATCACCCGAAGCCTTCGACTATGGAAATCACGATTTCCACTTCGACTATGGAAATCCGGTTGAACACCCGACTTTCCCGTTGAATCTCTAATGATATTCTCGGATCAAACCAATATCCTGATTTCTTAATCCCCAAATTCAAGTTGGAATGCCTAAATCATACTTTGATACTGATTTTAGTGTTTATTTTGACCATTTATTTTCTTAAATTTCGGATATTATTTGTGTACTTTGGATATTTTTGAGCAAGTTTGGTTACAATTCGGATACATATAACTGAAACACTCGAGAATCGAACCGCACCCGTTTGTAACCGAAATTTTTGGATCAATATCAGTTTTTATATATAATGTAAGAACCAACCCGAATCCGAATTATAACTACCCGAACCCGATCCGAAAATTAGATTTACCCGATTGGGATCTTCAGCTCTACACCCGAAAACTCGATACCCGAAAGAACCGACCCGATCGGGTCCGGGTTATCCGAACGCCCACCCCTAGAAAACACAAAAAGCCAAAGGTACTTAATTTAGAGTAGTTTGGTGGTGTGTGGAATAATTTTTGGAATGGAGATTGATTGGACAATACTGGTGTGGGTAGGCGGTTTATGAGAAAAACAGCTGTAGCAAATGCTTGAGGCCAATATGTGAGAGGGCTGTTGGCATGACTGAGCAGAGAGAGTCCTGTTTCAACAACATGACGATGTTTTCTCTCTGACAGACCATTATGTTGTGGTGTATGAGGAGGAGAGGTTAAGTGGGAAATGCCATTGGATGAGAGATATTGGCGTAAAACAAGGAATTCACCACCATTATCAGAAAAAAGTGTTTGAATACTGGTTTGGATGCGATTTTCAGCAAGGGATCGAAAGGCTATGAAGATTTCTTTTACTTGTGATTTAGCAGTGAGTGGGAAAAGCCATGTGTACCGTGTGTAATGATCCACAATTAAGAGATAATACTTGAAGTTTTGAGTGGATAAAATCGGAGATTGCCAAACATCTGAAAATAGATATTCCAAAGGTTTTGTGGAAGTAATAGTACTTCGATGGAAAGGGAGTTTATGTGTTTTTTTAAGAAGACAATCATTGCAAGGATTTAAGCTGGAAATAGTGTTTGAGCAAGGTAAAGAGTATTGAGAGACAACATTTTTAAGGATAGAAGAAGAGGGATGGCCCAAGCGAGAATGCCAACGGGAGAGAGTAGTTTTGGTGTCTGGTGAAGCGAAAAGAGCAGATGGGGAAGAGGGGAAAGGAGCTGGCCACTCGTACAGGTCATCCTTCGTTCGGTCTTGGAGCAACTGGACCCCCGTGCTGAGATCCTTCACCTGAAAGTGTGCAGGGAAAAATTCAACAGACACTTTATTAGCATTGCACAATCGATATACCGAGATCAGATTCTTCTGAACATGAGGAACACACAACACATCCTTGAGTAAAAGACTACGTGAGGGTGTTGGGAGAGAGAGAGAACCAGTGTGTGAAATCGCAAAGGTAGAGCCATCAGCAACAAAGACCTCTTCTCCACCGTTGTAGGGGTGATGAAGTAAGAGATTATTGAGATCAGAAGTTAGGTGGTGAGTCGTGCCACTGTCTAAAAGCCACGCATTCGGATTGAATGGAGATGCCGAAGCCATGTTAGCTCGTGGTTGCCATGATGTTTGACCAGTTTGTGGTGATTGTTGATGAGAGAAAGAACCACCTGGAGACTGAAGTTATGAGCAGCGACGAGCACTGTGGCCGTGAATGCCACAAATCTGATAACGGCCCTTGTAGCCCCGTGGTGAGTTGTGATGTTGGCGAGGACTAAATTGATGCTGCTGCCAGATTTGTCTCTCTTGGTAACCTCCATTGTTGTTGGTCTGATTGCCATTGCGATTCACTTTGTTGTTGTTCCTGTAGGTCATAGCATTCGCTGAGACAGTGGTAGAGGAGATCTGAACTGATGTAGCTTGAAGTTTGACCTCATGGTTGATAAGCTTCTCGTGGACCTCTGTGAGAGTAGGAGGAGTATCACGGCCTTCAATTTGGTCAATGATTGTTTTGTAGTCTTCAGGAAGGCCTTCAAGAACGATTTCAAGTTGATCCTCATGATCAAGAGGTTTGCCGAGGCTCGAGAGTTGATCAAAACGAGTGATTAAGCCTTGATAGTACTCGTTGATGGACTTGGATCCTTTCGTCCATTGCTTTAGTTGCTGACGTAGTTGCTTGATGTGCCCGCGACTGGGCTTGGCATAAGTAGCCGTAAGGGTACTCCAGATCGCTGCAGCTGTTTGTGCCGTAGAAAGTAGAGGCTGCAACGTCGGGGAGATCGCTCCTAAAAGAGCATTATAGAGGAGTTTATCCTGGCGTTTCCAGACTGTGAAGTCAGGATTTGGAACAATTCCAGCGGCTGTAGTGAGAGTAGACGGAGGTGTGATGGTTGAGCCGTCGATGTAGCCTGCTAGATTATACCCATCAAGAAGAGCATGGACCTGGCGGCTCCACATAAGAAAGTTTGTGGCCGTGAGTTTTGTAACATTTGTCATGTTAACATTTAAGAGAGTAGTGTTTTCGGCCATAGTGATTGTTTCGTTGGATGTGTCAGGGGAGGAGATGTTGTGTGACATATGAAGGAAGGAAGAAAGAGAAGGGTTTGAAGAAGAAGAAGAAGAAGAGTTGGCGGCCAAGAAAAATTAGGTATTACACTGGCTCTGATACCATATAGAGATTGAGCTGAATGAATCTTTATTATTGATGTAGAGTAGTATATATACAGAGGTACAAGTAGGGTAAATCGATATACATAGAAGGCATATATACGTAAGATAAAATATTTTCTTAACAGAAATCTCCTACTCCCGGCAAAACAGAGAAATTTCTTATTTCCACTAAAGCCAAGAAAATTTGTTTTCTCGTTGAAGCATGGTTGATGCTGAGCCTACTCTTTTTCAATCATATACGTCTCTGTCAAATAAACAGATAGCTAGAAATTCTTTATTATAATTTATTATTTGGGTTTGGGTTTGGCAAAAAACAAAACAAAAATTTAATTTTTTTATTTGTTGTTATTTAGGGCTTGAGATTGGTAAGAAATAAAATAAAGATTTTTTAAATTTTATTTTATTTGCTGTTATTAATTATTTGGATTTGTGTTTGGTAAAAAATAAAATAAAGATTAATAAAAAAGTATTTGGGTTTTTAAAGGGTTTTAGTTTAAAATTTAAAAATAAGTAGATGAGTTGTATTAATAAAATGTTTTGATTGGTGATTATTTTTGCTGAGGTGTCATGTTTATAAAGCTTCAAAAAGATGATGTGTCAAGCTATGGAGAGACATGAATGTTATTGTTGTGTTGATTTTTTTCATATATTGGACTTTTGTAATATTTTTTTTTCCTCGTGCATGAGTTAATCAGTGTTTTCTTTTATCAAAAAGTGTCTTTTCCAGTGATGGTGGTATAGTTTCTTAAGACAAAAGTATAAAGAATATCTCTCTTTATTATGTTTAGAAATATAACTCAAAAAGTAAACATATTGTTCTCTTTATGATTTACCATATCTCGGTAATCATATATATATAGGTATATAGTTTCCTTTTTCTTATCTAAACCTATTTTCCTATTCTTAGAAGAACTAACAATTTCTTTTAAGCATATCTTGTCATTAACCGACATGTTAATAATATCTTAGGCTTTAAGCTATTGAAGCGTATCCAACATTCACCCCCTTAAGCTTCAAGTTAGTCTTCGAGAGGTTTTGAACTCCGATCAGATCCCTCATCTTCTTGAACTTGATTCTTGCTAAGGCCTTTATTAGCATGTCAGCGCACTGGTCTTCTCCGGGTACATGTTCCACTTCGAGTTGATCGCTTTCGACACACTCTCGGATGAAATGGAACCGCTTTTGAATGTGTTTGCTTCTGCAGTGAAACACTGGATTCTTGGTGAGAGCAATAGTGGACTTGTTATCAATCCGAATTGTTGTCTTCTCACATTCTTGTCCTGTAATCTCACTTAGCAAATCTTGAAGCCATATTGCTTGCTTCGCAGCTTCTGTAGCAGCCATGAACTCTGCTTCACACGATGACAGTGCAACTGTGTCTTGCTTCTGTGAACACCACGTGATAGGAGATTCGCCAAAGTAGAAAACATGTTCAGTGGTGCTTCTTCCGTCATCGGGATCGATATTGTGACTACTGTCACTGTAACCGACGAGCTTCTTAGTTCCACCTTTCCTGAATGTTATTCCATATGCAATTGTTCCTTGCAGGTACCTTAGAACTTGTTTTAAGGCATGTCCGTGTGATTCCCTTGGATCTTGCATATATCTTCTTAACATTCCAACTGAAAACGCGAGATCAGGTCTAGAATGTAAAAGATATCTTAGGC